TTGAGATGCCTCTGCTCTATAATGTTCTCCTTTCCTTGTACTGAGTGCTGAGTTACCTACCTCTGCCCTCTGTGATATACTTACTCAGCCGCTAGTCTCTGCCTCTGGGCCTGACTTGTAGACCCAGACCTTTCCTCAAAGGAGCTGCATCCAGCCTACTACAGGTGGTGTTTATTTACAGATGCCATTGATGCAGCTTTTGGATTTGAAAGTTCCTTGGTGGTGGCTAGGCCACTCAGGAGTCGTCTGATCGTGCCCTGCCCTATGTGATCTAGAGCGCCCCACCCCCTCCCTATCTGCTGGTCCCCAAGTAGTGAGTCAGTCCTGTGGCCAGATTCCATGCATGGAGAAAGTATGGAAGAATAGCACCATACTTCTTGAGTACAGAGGGCCCAACTTCCTGGAGGGCTGGATTTGCAGAAAGGCTCATGGGCAACGCTTAGAAGGTTCCACCAGCTGAGCTGCTGGTGGTCAATCAGTGCTGAGGCCTTCATTCAGGGGCAGGCAGTGTTTTTCATTATGTGTGCATGTGAATATGTGTACACACTGGAGTATGCAGGCTCTATTTGCTTATCTGCACATGCACATGCATAGACCTGGCCAAGAGTCCCATCCTGGTGGTATGTGTATGTTATGTGACGGACCTGGGGAGTGCAACCATGCTGAGACAGGCTCTTGGGTGGGTGGGTCCTGGCCATCACATGTTGGAATTGTACTGACTTTACCATGGCAGCACCCTCAAGGAGAGGCAGATCGTGATGTCCAGAGTCAGCCTTTAAACTCAAATGCAAGCTGGGTATGGTGGTGCACACCTTAATCCCAGTATTTGGGAGGCTGAGACAGGAGGATTGTTGTGAGTTGGAGACCAGTTTGGGCTACAAAGTGAGCTCAAAGCCAGCATGAGCTGCATAGCAAAAACTCTGCCTCAAAAAGACAATAAACAAATGAACTCAAATGCAAGACAGTTGATGGTGGTGGACCTGACTGAGGTGCCCTTAGAGGACGTGGGAGTCATACATTGGGCCTCTGCCCATAGCTGTGCCCAGCCAGAGTGGCAGACCTGCTCCATGCAGTTTTGGGTATCTTAGGAAAACATAGCCTCAGAGACAGCCCCTCTCTGTCATCCCTAGACCCGTCAAAAGTAGGGAAGAGTCAAACTCAACCCTGTGACTGCTCTTGCTGCCTCTCTGGGCAATCTCTGGAAGTTTCTGCTGCTACTGAGGTACTGGATGCACAGCTTTTTTCTTTTTTTTTTTTTTTAATGAACTTACTTTTGTTGTGTGTGTGTGTCTTTCTCCCCATCACCACTGCTTCTCATTTAAAATGTTATCTCCCCCCACCTGTCCTTTGTGTCCCCCCAGGGGGAGAGGGGAGGCCCAGCCTCACCCTGGTGTAGTCAAGGTTATGGTGATAAATCCTGGGGCATTGTCACTTCTATTCGGAGTAAATTGGCTGGCCGCTTTCGGGCTGAAGGAAAGATAATTTGCTGTAGTATTTCAAATGGATTAGAAATGGATTTGAAGGGAAAGTTCATGCCTCCCATTACAAAGGCGAGAAAGAAGACTATCTTAAGGCACTGTTCCCTCCCTGGCCTTCATTATCCACGCTTAATACCTTTCCTATTTTCCAGCGTTAATGAAATTTCCTGGCGGCATGGGCCCGCTGGACGGATGGGAGAAGCCTTTAGATCTGCGGCTCCCGTTGCAGAAAAGGAATTACAGAGCTGTGCCGTGAGGGCAGACGCTCGCAGGGTCCTTGGCCCCACTATTATCTCATTAATTTTATCCCCTCTTCTCTGTACAGTTCGTTTCCAAAGGCTGTCCTCTCCATTAGGGTAACAATTTACTGGAGTGCTGTGACACCCATGGCAGTGAAATGCTACAAGGCCCCACCTGGCGCCCTTCTGCCTCACGTTCCAAAGCCAGCAGGGCCCGGGAGGGATTGGCAAGGGGAGAGGCAGGTGGATGATCTTAAGGCAGGCCCCTTCGCTTCCCCTGGTCAGGCCCAGAGTTTCTCCCCAAGTTCTCCCCTAATCAGCATTCCAAATGCAGATGCTGCACAAGGCTTCCAGGTTCCTTGGGTAAGCGAACAATGGGGGCAGTACCTGTCCCTATTCCCTAGAGGCCCTGGGCCCTGAGGCCACTGCCCAATCTTGGGGTCCACAAGCATATGTGCATGCATACCTGGAACATCAGCAGAGGAACTGCCACATCTCCTGTTCAAGTAGAACCACAGATGTCCCATTTCTGCTATTAAAATGCAGTGAGTTTTTAGGAAGGGACAAGGAGATAGATTGATTGTTCATGATCATCCATAAGAATAAACATGTGGAATAACCAAGACTTTCTGGGGAAGAAGTGTAACAGGAGCCTTTCAGCTTTATGAAGCCATGGTAGAAATCAGTCCTTAATGAAGCTGGCTTCTCCACCTGCAAGTACAGGCAGCTGGGTGTGCTTATTGGCCTCAGCCTGAGCCCTTGCTGGCTTCTGGTCCTTTGCTAGCTCCAGCCAGAGGTTCCTCGAGTGTAGAACCAAGTGGGGCAGACTTTATGGACTGAAACTTCATGGAAATGGAGGTATTCTCTGCAGTTTTGGCAGGGGAGCCTGCTGGCTTATAGCTACATCACAGTGCTTTAATCCTTGCTGTGTCTGTGTGGTTTACACTGGGGAAGGGTGGGCAGGGAGCAAGCTCTGCCCCTTTGATGCATTTTTCAGCCCTCCAGGATACCTTTGGAGGAGGTCTCAGAGAGGGTCCTCAATTAGAGAATTACCCCCATAGGTGAGTTCTTGCAGGGTTGGTCCCCAGAGAGCAGTTAGGCTCTGGTCTGGCACCTGTTATCCCTCATTGCTTTCTGGAAGCTGGGGACTGACTCAGCTGCTCTATGAGCAGAGGTGGGGCACTCTGGACAGGTCTGCCTGGGGCTAGGGCAGGGCCTCGTGAGGCAGAAACAGGGCTGGCCATCTCACCTCTCAGCACTGCTCTAGCCCAGGCCCTGAGGGCCGGCTATGGCTGCCAGGCTGGGACAGACCCAGGAGCCTTTTGGCCTCAAGCCAAGTAAGCTGAAGCAGCCACTGCCCTGGTCCAACTTCTTGATTGTGGCTTAGAGTCAATTTAGAATCTTTTGTGCCTTGGCCATAGCTCTCACAGTGTAGCTAGACCATCTCTGAGCAGGACTGACAGAGTTCTGTAAGTGAGAGGCTGATTCAGAAGAAGACCATTTGTGGCCTGGCCCTTCCTCACACCCTAACCTGATCCCAGTGCAAACTGAGGGTACAGGAGCAGGTTCCAAGGCCAGATGACAGCCTGGACCCCTGAGCCTGACTGAGTTACCCTGGAAATGGTTGGGGCCAGCAAGATGCTTCAAGGGGTTGCTGGAGCATGCAGTAGGTGGGTCCAAGGGACAGGCAGGCAGCTCACCATAGCTGGCCCCTTGGCAGGACTCTTTCCCTCTATGATTGGTGTTTGTGAGTTTGAATTTTAATTAAGGAAAACTGGGTTATGTGCCTTCTGTGGCTTCCCTGCCGCTGTGTTTGTACTTACACCGCAGCTTTAATCCCCTGAATGACCAGCTCACTTTGCTCACATTATCTCACTAATGGGCCCACTGTGGCCACTGGCTGGCGAGTTATCCCAACTTGCAGATGGAAACTGAGGCAGAGGGGCTGTCGTGCTGAATTCTGGGAGAACAGATGACTCCATGAGCAAGGCTGCTGTCCCCAAGATCTGCTTTCTGGGTGGCTTACCCTGGGTGCAAGGCTGGCTCTGACAGGCAGTGCTGTAGGTATCCTCTCCAGCCAAGGGAGTGAGCCTCCATCTATTGTTGCTTGGCAGCCCAGATCTGGGGGCATCTGTCAGTGGCATTGGCTGGTTAGCTCCAGGCAGAACTTGGGGTCTTGGTGCTAGTCCTGGATGGGCTATATGGGTGTGAAGGCCAAAAGGGGCATGCTGGAGGATCCAGAAGGAAGGGTCTGGCCTGTTGTCAGGCCAGGGTCGGCTACCTTCATTTCCCACTAAAGTTGTGTCCAGGGCTGACGTGGAGGCTGCTGTGGACCCTGATGATGGGCAACTGGCACCCAGGTTTGCCAGTTGGGTGCAATACATATAGTCAGAGGCCCTAGTGTTGTAAGCAGATTCTGAGTGAATGTGGAATTAAGCTTGTATTAACAAGTTACTGCTGAAATGCATCCTGAGGGTCTGGTCTCCATAGTGGACCCTGTGTGTGCCTGGTGCTAGGCACTGAGCCCTCTTAGAGACAGCCTGCCCACATCACAGTTGGGCATGGCCTTTCCCCAAATTGGCCTGAGCTCTGGCAGGACAGACCCATGAATAAGGAAGGGAGCGTTAGGGGGCCTCTGGGACTCAAGATCTATCTAGCCTAGGTCTGCTGTCCTGTTTGAGCTGTCATGTGTTAGTCCTGTGCCACAACTCACACACTCCCCATAGTTCCCTGACACAGCTGGCGTCTGGCTGGGGTCTGTTAGGCTGTCTTCTGCATGCTCTCTTTGCAGCACTCTGAGCAGTAAAGGAAAGTGGGCAGGACAAGGGGTGGTCCCTGCTGACCCCATGGCATCTGCCGTCTGAGGACAGTGTCTAGCGATGGCCACCAGCCTTGGCAGAGATCCAAGGGGCCAGGGCCCTGCTCTACTTCTTATCACTCCCTTGCAGTCCAAGGAAGCCATCCCTGGGAGGGCACTGCCAACGCTAGTTCATGTTGATTGTGTCCAAAAGAAGGGTACATGCTGAAGCAGACTGTTCCTTCGCTGTGGCCCTTGGTAAGCACAGGGGTTCCTCACTGGTTTGGATGTTGTCTTGCTCTGGGACTTCATGTCCCATTCTTTGGTGTCCCTGCAAAAAAGTGGGGAACAGAGGTCTCTTGGTGGTTAGACTGATAGCCAGTGACTTTCCTGGCTACTTTGTATCCTAGACAGTGTCCTGGACTGGGTTCTACACCTAGTGCTCATCCTGGGCCGTGTTTGATGGGCATTTTTCCGTCTCTGCAGGTCCCTAGTGCTGAATCGCCTGCGTCCAGTTGTCACTGGGAGTGGCAAAGCCACATCTGGCTCTCCTCGATGGCGGAGCAAAGGCTACCGCTGTATTGGAGGAATTCTGTACAAGGTGTCAGCCAACAAACTCTCCAAGACATCCAGCCGACTGGGTGATGGGGGTAACAGGACCCTCCTCCGCTCAGGTGAGGTGGGATACTGGAGACTGTGTGGTGAGGCATGGCAAGCCTTAACATTGAGGCTTTCCCAGGCCTTGGCTTCAGGCTTTTCCTTACAAAGGGGACACAGTGACAAGGTCAGGGGCCTGGGGTTTCCAGGAAGTCAAAGGAGTGCTTGCTCATGGGTAACATCCCAGTCTGGGAATTAATTTTACTCCTGGAGACACACACAGCTTTGGTAGCAATCTCTATTGAGGTCAACAGGGCAGCCAGAGCAAGGAGGGTGCTGGCAGGCCTTCTGCCCACCGTCCCCTGGGAAGGCTCACATGGTGCCTGTCTCTCGCTTGCCTGAGCAGCCCCCTATTTTCTATGGGGGGGCGGAATGGAGTGCCTGTGTTTTGCTCCTGGATAAAGGATGAGCCAGGTATGGCAAACACGCCCGGGCGAGCGAACACCTGAGACCGTGGTGCCCTAATCGCATTGGTGATGCCTCGACAACTGTGTCTAGAGGCAGTCGCTGCCACCACCACAGGCCTGCACGGCAGGGGAAACGGGCTGAGGAGAAGGAAATGCCTTGGATGCGCTTATTGTACAAATTAACTAGAAAAATATTTTGGTTTCAGTCCAATTTTATCCCCTTCCTTGTCCAAAGGGGAAAAAAAGGCAAGATTGTAGGTGGTGGTGTAAGTAGAGGAGGCCCAGTTGCATCCAGCCACCCCATCCACCTACTAAAGGGGCTGGATTGGGTAGAGCGCAGTGCTCCAGGCAAGGTCTTCGGAGGTCAGGGAGATGTCCTTCCCCACGGGCCGACTCCTCCAGCTGCCCCACCTGGCTGTGATCCCAGGGCCTATCAGGACCCATGAATTTCACACTGCCGTTTTTTTTTAGGCAGGATGTCTTAGGAATAGGGTTTCTAAGAGCAGCACTGGGCACAGGGCTCTGCCCTCCCATAGGTCCCTTTTCCCTATCCATGCTTTGCAGTGATCTTACGCCTCTAGCTCCTCTTCTGCTCCACCCAGTGAGTGGTCTTGAGGGCATGTGAGGAGCTAGAGTAGTAGGCCCAAGGTGTGGGTCAGTGACTGGGCCTCGTAAGCCCCAGGGTATGACACCTCGGGTTAGGGGAAGGCCCACTCAATGCCCTGTGGTCCCCACTGTGGTCATTTCTGACTCCAGAGCCACATCCACCTGCAAGTGACCACCACCTCCTGACAGATGTGTCCCCACTCCCAGTGTGGCACCTGGTCCCATGCTGGTGGCTTCTCCCCTCATACCGCTGTATTCTTCTCTGAGTAGGTCCTGCTGTTCACGTATGCTGGGCTGGGTGAGATGGAGCTGTGCCCACCACACCAGCTCTTCAAATACCCTCATGTCCACAGGAGATGGGGTGAGAGATTGAGGCCAACAGGGTGGCTGGCAGTTTGGATTTGATCTCTTTACCAGCATAGCACCCTCCACTGAAGGATGGCTGGGGAAAGTCAGCCTGCTGCTCTGAGCCTGTGAGGGAACAGGGCAGGCTGGGCTGTCACTCCTTGGGAAACTGCCTCCCTGCACTGGGACACCTGGAACCCAGTGCTGAGCTTTGCAGAATGTTCCCGTTTGCACATGTGGCAGAACCTGGCAGATACAGGGCTCCTGATGTCATGACACTGTAGACTGTCCATCCCTTGCCCACTGGCCCCCACCTCAGCACCACCCTTGACCTTTGAAGCTGGCTGACAGCGAATCCCTAGCCCCTTCAGGTACCTCACACTCCATTAGGGGCAACCACCCAAAAGCCAGCCTTGGTGCTCAGTCCCAGAGAGGGCAGCAGGGGTCCTGAGGCCTCTTCACTCTTGCCAAACCAGCTTCAGCTGCCGCTGTGGGATTCAATGCTTCAGTGGGACTTAATCCTTCCCTTCTCAGGGAGGAGATGTGGGGCATGTAGTCAGGTACTGAGCCTTAGGAGGTGGTCTAGTCAATAGGTGAGCTGAATGGACCTGACTGCAGCTGCCCAGACCTCCTTTGTGGCCCCACTTCACTCAGAGGAAGGTGGATTGCTCTGAGCTGTGGGCTGCTGCTGACTAGCCTACTTAGATGAATTATAATTAAAGAAATAAATTTCCTCCCCTGGCATCAGCAGTACTTTGACTTCTGTAAGAAAATGAAGCCTACCTTGGGAGGAAAAAGCTCTAACCCCTCTTCTGGCTGCTCCTCCACACTCTTGAAGACAGAGTCTCAGCAATCCTGAAACTAAACCCCTCCCTCCCAGGTCCACCTGCTGCTCAAAGCATCCCCATGGACCCTTCTCCTCTACATCCTTAGGCTTTGGACCTGTACCTTCAGCTGATGGCCTGCCAGTTCCTGTGGTGGTCAGGAGTCCCAAGTCTGCCAGCAGAGCTACCTGCCCTGATCCTGGCTGTAGAACTAGCTCTGCTTGTTCTGAGTCCCCAGGGCCTCAGAGCTGAATAAGGAAGAGGTGGGCTGTGGTCCCCTCTCTGCCACGACCAGCTGTCGCATCTTCTTGTGAATCTGGTCTCTAGACTCCCCTGCTGGGGTGCCATAAAGTCACACAGAAGGGCGCATGAGGGAGGCCTTATCAGGTACGCTATCGAAGCCAGAGCTCTGGGTCACTGAGGCTCCATCCCTGGATGCCTCCCTCTGCCATTTTTGTCAGAGTGAGATTATGTGTACTGTGCCCTGGCAGGGCCTAATGGACTCTCAACTGAGATGGCCCCTGTTTTGACTCCCTGGGAGCATGTCAGGGACATGCTCCTGCTGGGTGGACCTGAGCAAGAACCAGGGACTGAGGAGCCTCTTGAGTTTAGGAGATGAACTGTTTGCCCCAAGGCTGCCTTTAGAGGACCACTGAGCAGGTGGGGGCACAGTGAAGCAGATGGGGCAGCAGGGAGCCAGCATCTATTTCAGGAAGCACCTAGGAAGTAAGGCAGCACCTTGTGCTCCGAGGTCAGGTTGATTAGACAAGCTCTTTGCACCTCCCTTGCCTCCTCCAAGCCAGCTACTTTATGTGCATTTTTAACATTGCAAAGCATTTGGAAAGGTGCCTCTAGTTCTTGTCAAAACTCCTACTGTGAACCCCATGCTGGCATGTTTTTAAAAGCAGAAAGTGGAAAGAGGAGAAAACCATCCTCTTCAGGTCCTGATAGGCAGTGTATGATGCTTGTGTGTCCCTGACCAGAGCAGATGGCACCAGTGTCACTGGCAGCCTGAGTGACAGCCCAGGAACCAGCATACACTGTCAGATTATCAAATCACATGTCACTTGTAGCTAAGGTTGGCAGGTGCAAGGGCGCATCCAGGCCACCTGGACAGGGTTCCACTGCCACCCTGTGGACAGGTGTCCCCAGCAAGAACAGAAGCAACCATAGGCCCTCCTTCTTGTCCCTGTAAGACTCTTTTGACTTCTTTCGATCTTGCTGACTCCCTACTCTGTTCCCATGTTTCTGCTTATGCCCTCAGTACCCCATCTCCACCCCAGGGTACCATTATCAACGCCTACCTGTTGCTGGGCTAGGGGAACAGGGTTCAGCTGCCCAACAGTGAGCACTTCCTTTCTGCAGGGTCTCACTGCTCAGCCCTGGAGGTACTCTTTGATCATGAAGACACTGAGGCAGAGTGAGGGTGACGGCTGACCAGAGGGACACAGGGAACTCCAGGAGGGCAGTGTCTGTCCTCCCGCCTTGTCCAGCACAGCCTCATGCTATTCCCTGAAACTCAGGATAGTAGGCCGTTCCTGTCTAGTGGGTACTGATCTTGTGTTGGGTCCAGTATCCCGGAGGTGCCATCATGTGGCACTGCCTAGCCCTCCCTGGGGAGGAGCTGAGCTTCCAGTCTGTGCCACTAGAAGGAGTTAGGATCTAGACAGGCTATGGGCTGTGCAGATCTTGGGGAGTGAGGGCCAATGAGGACAGCTAACAGATACCTTGAGGGCACTGATTGAGAAAGCTGCCCCAGGGCAGCAACCAGATATGTGCATTTTTAACACACTAACAACCCTCCCCATACCCATGTATCCTGGACTGCAGGTTTCTTCGGGGCACATGCAAGAAGACTATGTGGTCTTTAGAGCCAAGCATTTTGGAATATCCCTTTTTAAAATCTGGATAGCGTTGTCATCACCTCAGGTCCTCAGAATTTCTGAGTGATGTCATTTTTGCCTCCTGGCGCCGTATTCATTTCAGCAGCTGCTCTGTAGGAAATTGGACCTGGTCTGGGAAGGTCATGTGCGTATTTGAGGAAGACAGGGAAGCAAGCTTGAGCAGGCCCTGCCCTGCTCTGCCCAAAAGCCCAGGGCTGGCCTGTGCCTTTAAAAAGCAGGTAGCTGAAAAAGAAGGGGGCGCGGCTGGGGGTTTAGCTTAGCGGCATAAGCACCTGCCTTGCAAGCAGGTAGTCGTGAGTTCGATCCCTGGTACTGAGAGAAAAAAAAAAAAAAAAAATAGAAAAAACAGGTAGCTGGCCAGGCACAGTGGCACATGCCTGTGATTCCATTTCCTTGGGAAGCTAAGGCTGGATGATCAAGAGTTTGAAGCCAGCCCGAAAACAATTTAACAAGATGTTATTTCAAGATAGAATTATAGGGGCTAGGGATGTAGTTGAGATAAGCTCAGTCTAGGCCCTCCCTGCAAGTGCCTGCCCCTGCTACATGGGCCCTGAGTCTTGAGGAGCCATCCTCTTCATACCACATTGATTACCTCGGAAAGACCTGAGCAGACCCCATGTTCACAAGGCACCAGCCAGAACCACAGCCTGCATTTCAGGCTTTGTCACCATATTCTTCTCTGTTGTGTAGTTTTCTTTTGATTTCATTTTGTAACACTTTAATGTTTGTTGGTTTGGTTTTTTTTGTTTGTTTGTTTGTTTGTTTTTTTTGTTTTTTTTTTTTTTGTATCAGGAATTAAACGCGGCCTCCCTTGCCAGGCAGGCACTGTGCCACTGAGCTCATCCCCAGCCGTACAATCCTTTAAAAGTGTTAAAGCTCTTCTCTTACAAAGCCAATTCATGTGTGGCTCATATTTGCCATCTTGGTCTAAGTAAACTCCTCCAGTACTGGTCCTCTTCTTGTCCCACTTCTGGGCTCTGGCAAAGAGAGGCACCACCACTGATATTAACACCATTCACAAGACATCTTCCTGGGTGGCCAGGCTGAGGACAGAGCCTAGAGAGACATCCGCTGGCCAGTCATTGCCTCAGCCTAAGGTCCTTCCCCATGAACAACCCAGTTGTCCATGGAACCCAGGGAGATCAGGAGCCAGTAGGTAGGGAGATCCACTCACTGTCCAGCTAGCTGGAGTCAGCAGGAGCCAACTGGCCACCTCAGTCATTCTTGAATAGCCACTGCCTTTCAGGGGCTGCCGGGCATACTGACTCAGAGGGTACCAACAGGAATCTTGTACTGTCCCACCCTTGAGCAATGCCAGACCTGGGACCCAGTGTTTTATGTTTATAGTACGAAATGCTGGAGCTGTGCCCCAAAGGAGGTAGTAATGATTTGCAGAGTGTTGGGGACCCCCAGGGGGCCTTAGTCAGATGGGTCAGTGGGGAAAGGGTATGAGGCTTAGCTCAGGGTTCAGGGGAAGTTGGGCAGGGCTGCATACTAGGCTTTGCTTGATGTATCCCCACCTCTTTCTGCTATAGGCCGATTGGACCCTGCCAGCAACTGCAGCCGCTCCTTGGCCAGGTGCGTCCCCTGGGGCTGGATATGGGGGCTACCTTATCCTCCTTGGGCTCATTTAATTCTTCCTGTCTGCAGCCGGGCCGTTCAGCGCAGCCTGGCCATCATCCGGCAGGCTAGGCAGAAAAAGGAGAAGAGAAAGGAATATTGTATGTACTACAACCGCTTCGGCAGGTGCAACCGTGGTGAGCTCTGCCCATACATCCACGACCCTGAAAAGGTTGCTGTGTGTACCAGGTGCCCTGCCTAGTCTTGCTGCATGATTTAGGGGATGAGGGAGGGGCTGACACCATCCTAGCAACCCTCCCCATACCCATGTATCCTGGACTGCAGGTTTCTTCGGGGCACGTGCAAGAAGACAGATGGGACCTGCCCCTTCTCCCACCACGTATCCAAGGATAAGGTGAGTGTCACCTGGCCAGCAGGCTCCCTTCCCCAGACACTTTTGGTTTTCTCTGGGCTAGAGATGGCAGCCTCTGCTGCCAGTGTCCCTTGCCTCTCACCTCTCTACCTCTGTGTCTGGGTAGTATCACTGTGATCTCTCACCACACAGAAGGGTCTCTCTTTTCTATTCCCCAGTACCCAACCTTACAAGACCCACCTTCCTTATACCCCCATGACATACACAGGGGAAGGCTACCCTACAGGTACCTCCTGGGCACAGGGCTGAGGCCTCACCTGGCTCCTCAGGCCTAGGCTTGGCCAAGATGTGATTCTATGGGGGCCAAAGGCTCTCCTCGGTAGAGTGGATGGGGCAGCAGGGAGGTGAGCCCTGGAGGAAAGGGCTGAGAGTGCTAAGGGCTGGGCTCAGTGCTGGCTGGACACACAGAGCCTGCAGGACACCTGGAGGCCTTACCCCATACACAAGGCCGCCCTGCTGGCCCCTTTGAACATGGCAGCTGAGGGGAAGAGCCAGTGTGCAGCTACAGTGTGAGGGAGGTGGTGTGGGCGAGGCCCACTGCTGTTCTGACAGCTTTTCCCCTTGAGGAGCTTGGAGAGAATCAGCATTTTTCTTCCTAATCGAGCTTCGAAACTCTGTCGTGAGCAATTTGGAAATTCACGTCGAGTTTCGGGTTCATTAAGCGCCAGCTCCAAAGCCGGCACACACTCCAAGCTGTCTGATATGTGGGCCCGCGCCAGCGCCCTGAATTAATGTTATTGTTATTTGTGTGGACGTGGCGGGGTGCAAACAAGGTTAATTGAAATGAGAATGCAGTTTCCTCTTGGTAACGGCCCCACTCTGACAGCCAGGAGGAGCTCTGCTTGGTGTTAAGAGTTGGCTTTATTATCCCTTTTTATTAGAGCTAATTTGGGCTCTATATCAAAAACCACATTAAGGGAATTGTCTACAGCCACACTACCACCATCCCCAAATGGGGCCCCCAGCCCCTCTTCCCTCTGCGGCTGCAGTTAAAAGACAATTAAAAATAAACTCTTGCTCGGTAAATCACCCTTTGTTTCTTTGATTTCTCCCTCCTTCCCTCTCAGTTTCAGGGCTCCTGTGTGGCTTCTCCTTCCTCCTTAGCCTCAGACAGGGTCCTGCCTCTCCCTTTCCCCACTTCATTCTAGAAAAGTGACTGCTTTTTACATCCTCTTAGTTCCAGGACCCTGGAGTGCTTACCCTTCCCACTGTTGGCTCTCTGCTGAACAGCCCCCAGCTGGCCTGGAACCACATTGTGGCCACCGGGAACCTGAGGGGCTAGGGTCTGACACAAGACATAGCAGGAGGGACCCCAGGGGATGCCCTCTGTGGCTACGTGTTGACTCACCTGAGTCTGGACAGTGACACTGCCCCATTTCCTGGGCAGCCCAGGAGGGAAAGGGGGCTGGTCCACAGGAGAAGCAGGAAGATAAGTTACTTGGAAAATGTAGAGACCCGTCCCCACAAAAACACACATGGTCTGCCCCTGCTTATTTCCTTTCTTGGTGGCCCTAGCCCAGTACCTATGTCTTAGGCCTGAGTTTTGCCAAGCTGGGCAGGGCAGGTTGTATCTCTTTCCCGTGCTGGTCCAGAGGCTGATAGCAAGTGGTGATCACAGCCCCAGTTACCTGACTCTGTGCTGGAAGTGAAGCGGGGCATTGAGCTGCTAGGTCACATGCCTGCCCATTTCTGTCAGTAGCAGTGAGGGTGGATCACACACACTGCCTCAGGCCCCTGGGTCTTCTCAGACCCTTCCTGCTGACCCTGTGGTCAGTGCCAGACCCAACCTGTTCCAAGGCACGTGTGTCAGGTGACCACAGACTCCTTGGCTGGGTGTCCAGCCCCAAGGCTGTATCACACATGCTGGCCCCAGGGACAGTGTGATGCTGAGGGCTTCCAGCAGCTGTCTTACCTCAGCTCCTAGCCCAGATGCTAGGCAAGCTCAGAAAATGTGAGAGACCAGGCATTGCCCACCTGGGTCCAAGCCCTTGCTGTAGTCTGCTCAGCTGTAGTGTCCTTATCTGGGCAGAGTAAAGGCAGCCATGCTGGCCACCTGACTGTGCAGTAACCCCTGCCACTCAGCTCCTGCTGACCATCACAGTGCATTCATTTCTCAAGAGGGCCTTGTAAGAGTCTCTAAGCAGAGTCTTTGTGGCTTACATCCAGCTGTGAGGCCCTGGATGGGGCCTTTGGAGTAGGATCCACTCTCCTCACTTTTACTCTCCCTTCCTCCTACAGATGCCTGTGTGCTCCTACTTCTTAAAGGGAATTTGCAACAACAGCAACTGCCCCTATAGCCATGTGTATGTGTCCCGCAAGGCCGAGGTCTGCAGTGACTTCCTCAAAGGCTACTGCCCGCTGGGTGCCAAGGTGAGGGGCTGTGGGTGAGTGTACAGGTATGCATGAGTAACTTTAGCTACCTGCAGCCTGATCTTCTTCAACATTCCCAGCATCTTCTGTGGTGGTCATGTGGCTCGTCCATAGCCCTGAGGTGGTCACTGTCATTACGTCCACCTTATAGGTAATACAGAGGTCTAACAACTTGCCCAACGTCACACAGCACCAGGGCAGAGTGGAGTTTGAGGAAAAGTGTGTCCAAGAGGACCTGTGTCCCCCAGGGCATCAAGGGTGCACAGTAGGGATAGAGTGATGGCTGGGCCAGCAACATCCCCAAGAGACTGCTGTGGGGTGAAGGGGACATCAGAGATCTTGAGAATCACAGGGCTGTGGATGGATGTGGAGTCAGTGGCTTCCCTGGGATGGCAGGTGGTAGACGTATGATCTACTCCCACTTATTTGGGACCGAGGAGCCACACTGAGGCCAGAAGTGTCTTGTATAGCAGCTAGAGCCCACTGGAAACACCTAGGGCCAATAGCGTGTCAGGGACCCAAACAGGAGGGCTGTATCTATGCTCAAAGTGCAGCCAACTTGCCGTATCCCTCACACCATCTCACCTGTTGGCTAGGCCCTGTGGGAACCCTCTTCCCACAATCCTCCATACCTGTGCTTCCACCCTCGGGCTCGTGGCAAGGGTGAGGGTAGACATGCTCTAAGAGGGCTCTAAGAGGGCTCTGTGGTGCTGGCCTGAAACAGAGTCATCATGCATATTTTCAGGCTCCACAGCTAGACTCACTGCTGCCCCTTCAGCTATAAAATCTCAGGAAGGTTGGCCCTGCCTCAGGCCTACAGGCTAGAGGGGAAATCCCCAGTGAAGTTGGGGTCACTAGGACACCACGCCCTCTGTCACTGGCTTCATACTGTAGGTACCACCCAGAAGCAATCCTGTACTTTCTGGTCCAGCTTTTACCTTACCTCCTCTCATTCTACCCACCCACCAATGTAGCCATGGCGCCCCCTTCTGAGACAAATACTGAGGGTGCTGGGAGCCAGCCTGACTCTGCTGTAGAACTGCACTGGCTGCAGGAGGTGTGGGGGCCTACAGAGCTGACATTTACCTGGAAGGGCACCAGGCCTGGCAGGGAAGCCCCTCCTGGAGGTGGGCCTAGATAAGTAGCTCCAGGCCCTGGTCCAGGTGGGGGCAGATGCCCATGGAGGGCATAGATGATTATCATAAAATATTCCAATTTAAATGAAAATATCAAAGCGATATTTAAATCTTGCTTCTATTAGTGGAAGTGCTTACTGTGTCCCTTTCCACGTGTCAGCGCTGCGTTGCTGCTGCATGATGGATAGCAGCTTGTAATTATATATGGGGAAAGCGCTGAGCCGGCCAGATCCAGTGGGAGGGGAGGCAGCAACCTGGGCCTGTGAGGGTTAATTTTATTCTCTAAATAATATAAAAAATGCTGAGTCGTCACCTTGTGCCTGAAGTAGAAGTCCTCAAATGGGCCCCAGAGAGTTTATAATATTCCACTGAATCAAGTGAAATTGTTAACCTTGCTTCATAAAGCCATGGCTTGTTAAAGAGGCGCATTCCCTTTTCTTTTGAATAATTTAGGCTGGGAGTAAATCTACATGCCTTTCCATCCTGGGAACCATGAGGCTTTCCAGGGTCTGTGGCTCAGAGGTCAGCTTCTGCCAAATGCCCAGCTCCATGCTGGCCAGCTGTCCTGAGCACCTGGTCTTCAGGTCAGATTGGTGACTGCAGGACACCTTGGGGGCACGTGTGTCCTCCCAGTTAGTGGCAAGTGGCAGATATGGCATGTGTTTTCCTTCAACTGCTGGCAGTTGACTACAGTTTACCTCCAGCACTTGATAGTTGTGACACCATCTACACCCTCAGAGACTCCTTCCCAATTATCTGTGCTTTGTGGGAGGTTCTCAGAGTCTCTAGGAAATCCTGCCTATGCCACTAGCCTTGACAGCACTTGATGTTTCTAGTGCATCAGAGTCTTTCACGCCTGCAACCTCACGTGCAGGAGGGATCACACTCACCCCTCTGTTCCATCACTGTGTGTCCCAGTGCATTGGAACCTGTTTCATTATTACAGTCTCTGTTTATCTCAGCCTGCCTGGATCTGGCCAGCAGGAGGCCGTCAAGCTGTTCCTGTCCCTTGCGTACACCTCTAACATGTCTGTAGTGCTTTCCTCCTTTCTGGCCCTGTGGTAAGATCCAGCTCTGAATAGCCACTTACCCAAAGAGCTGTGATTCCTTCTGGGTGCATTTAAAGCTGTGCTCAGTAGCTGGGCATGGTGGTGTACACTTGTAATCCCAACACTTGGCAGACTGAGGCAGGAGGGTTTATACAAGTGCGAGCCTACATAAAGAGACCCTGTCTCAAAAAACAAACAAAAAATAAAACTGTGCTAAGCCAGGCATGATGCTGCATGTCTGAAATCCCAGTGCTCAGGAGGCTGAGGCAAGGAGGTTCACTGTGAGTTTGAGGCCAGACTGAGCTACAGAGTGAGTTCAAGGCCAGTCTACATAGTGAAATCCTATCCCAGATGAAAACCACAGCAACAATGAAAGCAAAATAAAATAAAACAAAACTAAACTAAACAAACCTGTATGCTCAGTGTAGTTGTGGCTATGCTGCCTGCAGCCAGTGTATAGAGCTGTGGGGGTCCAAGGGGAAGCACATGCTACATGTGTTGGGTTACACCCGCGTGTTTTGGTCTCAGGCCCCGTCCTGAGGTGGCCTGGGCTGAGTGTTAGGTTTCGACTCCTGCTGAGTCACAGGGCCTCCCTGCCTGTGATCTCTTGGTCAGTCACAGACACTCCTGGGCCCTCTGCACAGCTGCTTCCTGGTTTTCCTGCCTGTCACCAGGCATCATTTTCACCAGTGGTGTTCATCGTCAGGCTGAACTTTGTATTTTTTGTGAGACATGGTCCTTCCATTTTCCCCTGGATTGGTGCAACACTTCTACTACCCATGGTCACAGAGCCCCCACAGCTGCCGCATTGGACGTCACTAGCCTGATGAGGCCCTGTGCAGCCCGCTGATCTGCTACCTGGGTGAGGTGGGCAGCCACCTCAGCTTGTTTACCTCAGTGTATTTCTTTATTTGGGGTTTTGTTTTGTTTTTTGAGACAGGGTCTCACTAATTAACCCAGGGTGGCATTGAACTCACAAATTGTGAATTTATGAGTTCACATAAATTGTAGCCCAGGGTGGCCTCAAACTTGTGCCACCATGTCTGGCTTTTTTTCGGGGGGTGGGGGCAAGATCTCACTGTGTAGTTTAGGCTGGCCTAGAACTCACTGTGTAGTTTAGGATAACCTTGAACTGAAAGCAATCCTCCTGTCTCAGCCTCCCAGGTACAGGGATTGTAGGATTAATTGAAACATAATTAATCTTTATGAAGTTGGACTAATGACTCTGCTTGCCTCAGGAGACTATAAGATCAGAGGAGGGGAGGGAGGTAGCTACAGGCTACTGGACTGATTCCTAGAGATCAGCTGTTGGGCGCTTGTGTGTCATGGGAGACCTCACCTAGTGTCACTTCATACAAATCACTTCTTCTACCTGTTTATTTTCTCCCTCTGATGTAGTGGCCCCAAAAGGAAATGATAAACTGCTTTATTGAGTTAAAATATGTATAACATAATTCACCCACTTAAGTATACAGTTCAGTGGTTTTTTGGTTTTTTTTTTTTGTCTTTTTCCTTTTTATCGGTACCGGGGATCGAACTCACGACTGCCGGCTTGCAAGGCAGGCGCTTATGCCGCTGAGCTAAATCCCTAGCCCCAGTTCAGTGGTTTTATGCATACTACTTTTGGGAGGCAGTGCTGGAAATTGAAGCTGGAGGCTTGTGCATGCTAGCCAGCGCTCTAACACAGCTACACAGCAGCTCCTACATTGTTGATTTTTTTAGAAATTGTAAAATAGTACATTTAAAGTCTACTGGGGGTTTTTTGTTGTTTTTTGGGGTTTTCTTTAGGAGGGAGTTGGTATGTGGGATTGAACTCAGGACTTCAGGTTTGCCAGGCTGTGTTGCTGAGCTGTATCCCCAGCTAAAGTCTACTGTTCTGACTTTTTAATAATGTAATTCTTTTTCCTTTGTGATACTGGGAGTTGCATTCAGGACCTTCACACTGAGCTATATCCCCAGCCCTTTTATTTTGAGATCTCATCAAGTTGCTAAATTACTCAGGCTGGGCTTGAAGTTATGATCCTCTTGCCTCAGCTTCCAGGAATTATAGGTGTGCATCTCCATACCTTGCTCACTTTAACGATTTTTAAGTGGATAATTTGGTGGTTTTAATTACATTCACAATATTTACAACCATTGTTACAATCAAATATTTCCATAAGTTTTTCATTACCCTAGACCAAAACATTTTAAACCTATTAAGCAGTAACTCTTCTTTCCTCCCTGCCTCCAACCCTTGGTAGCCTGTATTAGTCATTTCTTATAAATATTTATTCTTTATAAATATTTGTTCTTTTGTGTCTGGCTTCTTTCACTTAGCATTGTGTTTTTAAAGTTCATCCGTATTGTAGCATGTGTCAGAACTTTGTTCCTTTCCATGACTGAATGATACTGAATTAATGTCACTACAGGTTCTGTCTGTTCATCTGTTTATGGATTGTAGATTTTTCACACCTTTTGACTACTATGAGTAATGTAATGAACATTGACATACAGGTATCTGCTTTTACTTCCTTAAAGAATAAATCTAGGAGTGGAATTGCTGGATCAAATGGTGATCCGTTAGATTTTTTTTTTTTTTTTTTTTTTTTGGTCTTTTTGGGACAGGGTCTTGCTATGCAGTTCAGGCTGGCCTCAAGCTCACTTTGTAGCCTAGGCTGGTCTCTAACTCACAACGATCCTCCTGCCTCAGCCTCCCGAGTGCTGGGATTACAGGTGTGATCCGTTAGCTTTTTAAGGCACTGCCTTGCCGTGTTCCACAGTGCTGGGCCATTTGACATGCCCACCGGTGCTTAATGATCTTCTTAGCTCTAAC